CTTCTATATGAAAGTATGTCTAAAGTTTAGTTCTGACTATAAAATGTGTTTTTAATTAGGAAAAAATTGTTCCCCTAAAGCAATTCTGCTATAGATCTAGAAAATTTAATATTTGTTGTTTTTCCCCTTTAGATACTATACAGATGAGTTTTTTCTCAGCATTTGAATCTTGAAAGAAAAAATAATTTAGACTTAGAGAATTCTGTGACAGCTAAGGGAAAAATTGAACATTATGAAGTTAGATATAATTCTTCTGTATATATGTTACATTCTAAATCTCAAGTTACCTTGTATGGAAAAAGTAAATCTCATAGAATGGAAATGAAGAGAGTGTATATCAATAATTAGAATATTTTATAAGAAGAAATCCTACAAAAGCATGCAATTTAAGAATGTATAGACTTGGAGCTGTCAGGTGGTTTGGTAGTTAAGGTTTCTGGACTCCCACCTGGCTGACTGTGGTTCGAGTCCTGGACCTGGCGGCTTGCTTTCTCACTTTCCCTGTCTCTCATTCTGTCCTTCTCTGGTCAAATTTAAGTAAATAAATAAAGTTAAATAAAATAATAAAAAAATATAGACTACATGAATAAGCATGTATGATAATGCAAAACCAAATTAATGAGATTACGAGCTGAATGTTTGTATCCCCTGGAAATTTGTATGTTGAAATTGCAAACCTCAGGGCGATGGTATTAGGAAGTGGAGTCTTGGGAAGATGATTAGTTCACAAAAGCAGACTACTCATTATTGGGATTAGTGATGTAAGAGAGACCTCAGAGGGCCAGGTAGGCCTTTCAACCACGTGAGGTCAAAGTAAGATGACTGTCCGGGAGAAAGCCTTTGCCAGACTCTAAGTCTGCTGATCATTGATCTTGGACTTTCCATCCTCCATAACCGTGAGAAATTAATTTCTGTTGTTTGATAAACCACTTAGTAGTCTCTGGTGTTTCGTTACAACAACCACAAAAGTATTAACACAAACCACATTGCAGTTCAAGGACAATGGATTAAAAACTGTTCAGTCTACAATTCTATGTCTATAACTTTAAAACTCAGCCTCTGAAAATACTTAACTTGAATAAGAGTCTTGACATTTTGAAAGAATATGCATTCCAACCTTCAAGAACAGTAAAATTGATGACTGACAGCATACAATATTTTTTCTAATAAACTCAACACAGTAAAATTCAGCCCAGAAAATAAAAATGTAATTTAAGATACTTAAGTATCTTAATTTAAGATAGATACAGTGTGTTCTGATTCTTAATTTAGGACACTGAATTTAAGGCACCATATATGCACAGAAATAAAAGAACAAAATTAATATTTAGCATCACCAGAAAATGTATACCATACAACCCTATCACTCTCCTGTGATACTCATTACTCATCACAATTGTTAATACTTGTTCAACTTTTGCCTCTTCTGTGACTTCTAGCAGTTATTTCTCTAGCTTATTTTAACAAGATGGTATTTCCAGCACCTAACTCAGCAAATATTTGTGTTACAAAAGAATTAATTCAATAATGCCTTACACAGCAAAGTTTTTTCCTTCTGGGTGATCATTGTGTTTTATAGTTTGGGCTAAAAATTCTTGCATATAGATTATGACATATAAATCTGAACAAAAGAAAGAAAAGGCAGTTTTAATTTGTGCCCTTGAGAGTTTATTACTCACCTAAGAATATACAATTTCAAGTGGCAAATCTAGGAATTTTATTCATATCTTTCTTATAATGAATTGTTATTGAATTGATTCTTTCTGACTAGCCTATAGCAGCCCTCCAAAAACTTAGTATTTATTAGGAATTTAATTTCCACATGCACAAATCTTTTCATATTAACCTGTATAACTTCAAATAGAGATTTATGAAATTTTTAAAAATCATTTGCATAATATTCAATCATAAATTTCAATTATTTGAAAATCTTGTTATTTCTCAAATTTTTTGCTTCCTTATTTTCCTCATGAGGCTATGGTTAGATCATTTCAGAACTGATTTCCAAGGGGTTGGTCCCCCCCTACCTTGGTCATGTAAATCGCTTTGGACACTGGGACATTAGTAAATATAATGTAGATGTAGACAGAGGCTTACAAAGCCCTTAGGGATTGGAGTGTTCTCTCTCAATACTCCTGGAATTTCTTCTACTATCATTTGAAGAACCCCAGGCTAGTCTATTAGAAGATGAAAACACATGTAACAGAGACTTAGTATTCCAGCTTAGGGCCAATCAGCTCTGTCAGTACACCAACTGACCACAATTCCATTTAAGAAAAGCTGGTAGTATATCTATTCAACTAAACTCAATCTAAATGTCTGACCCACAAAATTGTGACCAATAAAATGTAAAGTTTGTTAACAGCAAGGGCTAATAGATACAAAATGAAAAGAGAACATTTTTAAAAAGCAGAGATTAATATTGTGTGGGTGTGTATACATGTGTGCATATAATTTCTGCAAATAATTTTTCCTAGCACAGCCATTGAGTTAAGAATAAAGAAAATAAATGCAATATACTTTCAAAATCCTTAAACCAGATTTACAGAATTGCTTCCAGAAAGGAATTATCTTAGACAAAAGTGAAACTTCTGCTCCATGGTCAGATAACCATAGACCATCCCAGATTAGTAAGCACAGAATCTTGATCTTTCTCTTGGCTAAGATCACAATACTGCATCCTGCCATTTCTATATATTAGAAGTAAATCCTAGTTTCTGATTTCTTCCATGTACATTTAAAACATGGCAAATCCTGATGTGGCAAAGGGGCTGCCGCCACTGAAAGGGGGACGGAAGGCCTACAAGTCTTAACAGTGAGGACAACGCCATGGTCGTCCTAATAGCTTGCCCTGCTGCCCTACTAGACAACGCTCCCTGCTAATGGATCCACCCTTCCCAGCCCTTGCAAGCGTCAGCTAGTCACCTACTGAATGTCATCTGCCACAGGGTTGTAATGAAGGTGATATGAAGGCCCCACACAAAAAGGAGCTCTAAGGCAATGCACTAGGGAAGCTGTCAGTCACCACACTGGGTCTATTAGCATGAGGAAGAAAAAGACCATTGGAAAAAAAGCAGAGGGGCAGACATCCTCCCAGCCCTGCAGGAACATCGTGGCTTCAGAATTTCTCACGGATGGAAGTACAGTGATGAGCCCATTACCCAGTAGAAAGGAACCGTTCTGGATCAGGATCATTCTGGCAACTGTGGGAAATAGTCTGTATAGTGTACACTGAAAAAGGGAGATCAGAGATAGCAGTGGAACAGTGGAATGACCCAGAAACGAATTTACACATAGGAAACTTGAATCATCATAGAAGCAAATTTTTTGATGAGTAATGAAAAAAAATTGTTAAATAAATGATGCTGGATTAATTAAAAAAAAAAAAAAATGGCTGCATCTCTGGAGTTCCCTGTCTTTACATAAGGACATCAATGTGGAATTTCCCTGCTTCTCTCTTTCTTTTTCTGATTCCCATTAAACCATACATAAATAAAAACAAAGCAAATGCTTGATGATATAGATTTTAGATTCTGCTTTCCAGCATGCCGAACGTTGGATACGTATAAGGGAAACTTTGTTTGTAAAGTTTAAGGGAAGGAAAATGTGCTCCATAACATAGGTACTAGTCATAATATTTAATCAAATATAAACTGCCAATAAATAAACCACATAAAAGTGTTCCTCTGTATATTTCTTCTACCCAGAAATAACCTACTGAAGCCAAAATGTAAAAATTAACAGAAGGAAAGCAGATGATTTAAGAAATTGGATAAAATAACTTGCTCTCCTAAGATATGCCTTCATTTGTCCACACCCTGTTGATATTTCTTTGGTTCCAGTGGGATCCCTAGAGAAGGTCTGTACAGTGAGAGAGGAAATCAGACTCCAGCTCTGAGAGTGCCAATTATAACTGCACTGTCCATAAAGATGTTTGCCTTTGCCTTTCAGGAATGTTTTCATAAAGATTAGCCACTGTTAACCATCAGTAGGCTAGATTCTTCTAGGGCGAATTGGAATTTATACAAGAACCTTGGAACACTACTGGGCTAAATCATTTGTCATCCAAAGGGATCTAAAAAAAAGTAATTAAAATATTATTCAGGTCTTGCTAATGGAGATCCACAGCTAATGAATAACTTCAAAGTGTTCCCTACAGGAGTGAGTACCATAATTTTGGATTGCTGACATCAATACATTTTGAAAAATATTTCAGATAATGTGGCAGAAATAGTTATCAATGATCTATCTGCCTTTGCCTCCTCTCAGCCTTCCTGCTCCTAAGTTGTACCATTTGGCCATACTGGCTGGACTTTAGATTGTAAATGATAGTGACATGGGTCATTTCCAGGTGAAAACATTTAAAGGTCAATGCATGAACTTCCAGTTCTTTCTTACCTCCTGTGACCGTGAGGACACCACATGTTGAGATGCCAAAGATTGGGTCTGTGAGTGATTATTGGGAATTCTGGGTTTGTAGAGTTAGTGTGGAGAGTGGACAAATAATGAACATTTTTGTGTTATGCCATTGAGGCTTGAGGGTTAATAATATAACCACAACATAACATACTCTATCCTGAGCAACACAGGATGCTTTCTAGGGCTGCCAATGTCCTATCATGCCCTAGGAAGATTTTAAAAGTATACAAAATTCCTCAACATAGGCCATCATTATGGAAGAGAAATAATTTATTTTTTTAAAAAAGCAAAGACATAATAGCAGAATAAAGGATTCTTTCTTAAACTCAATGAATATGGTTTTCTTTTAAATATCACTCTATTATCCTTAACTTAGTCATTTTGCTGGGCAGAGAACACATTATATTATAGAATAGTGTTATTTATCTGTCTTCCATTATGTTTTTCACTTTGGTTCTTAAACCATTAATCTAGGTATTAGGATTCTTAAATCATGAATCTAGGTATTTCAAAAATGGCAACAGAAGATTCCTAACCCAAAGAAATGAAAAATATTAGATAATGACAACAACGAGAATTACCTGTCTTTCGGTGAGATCCAGATTCACTGCGATCTCATAGCGCCTCAGTCTCGTCAAATAATTATGGTGGGCAAATTCTGCTTCCAGTTCTCTGATTTGCTCTTTGGTGAAAGCTGTCCTTTCCTTTCTAGGTTTGCTATTGACTTCTGACTTGTAATTTCCTTCCTGGGAGTCTGGAAAAAAAAAACAAACAAACAAAAGAAGAAGTCAGAGAGTATTAATATTCATTAATTCATTCAACACATGGGATTCTGTCATTTAAAGTTACTGAGTGATTACTTTTCCAGACACTGTATTAGAACTGGGATAAATAGAGGCCAGGAACAATAAGATTGATCTCACTTCAAGAAGCTGAGATATATATTTTATGTTTTTAATCTGCCTTCAAGTAACTCATAATCTAATTGGAGAAGTGTCTAATCTTTTCGTACAAAATATGAACAAAAATCTTAACTGCATCTAATATAATGATAGAATAAACCAAAGCCTCTTTAGAAAGCAATGTTAGATGTGAAAAATTGTCTAATAGCTTGCTTAACAAATACTTGTGTATGTTAAGGTCTAAGTATAATTGAACTGACTAATTCTTTAAAATAATAAATAAATAGAAAACTCGGTATATAAATATTTGACCAATTCAAATGTTTGCCAGCTGGACCATAAAATTCTTAGACAGACTGAGCCTTTGAAAAAGACTATGTATGCTTATCGTTTTTTTAGTTTCTATGTTAGTACAGTTTCTTTGAAAACAATAGCAATACTCTTCTCTAATTTTATGTCATCTTTAGTCCAATGTAGATATATATATATTTATTTATATATTTATAGATATACATAAATCTATGTCCATATGACTTAACATACGAACAGAGTCTAAAGTATGTGTCTCATTACACATAAGATAAATGTAATTTTCACAACTAATCTCAGCTAGCCACATCACCAAATCTCATAATGCAATGTAGAAATGACAATAATAGGGGCTAAATGGTGACACAGCAGTAATATGGGATGCTCTGCAAGTCAGACCCACACAGAGAGGTTCTGAGTTCAGGCCCCAAGATCTCCCTGATAAGCCGTACAGGTACAGGATCTCAGCTGGCTGAAGCTAAAGATGGATTGCAGTGCTACAGCAGTGGTGGGGGATGCTTCCTGTCTGTCTCTGCCTGCATGTTTGTCCCTCTTGATCATGGTAAAAATAAATAAATAAATTTTAAAAAATGATAATAATTTGGAACACATTATTCCTTCTTTATTCTTCAGTGATCAAGATATAATTAATACACAGTATTTAATTTATCCTTACTCTATCAGGTTAGAAGAATTGCTTAAAGAACAGAATGGATACAGAATAGAAAAAAACTGCATACCCAAATGAAAAGTCATCAGATACAACTCTAGTGCTTCATGCCAAATTTATCATCAGTGAAGTATCAACCTAACAAAAATAAAGGGGCATGCCAGAACTCTTGTGAAAATGGTTTTAGGTTCCTAGCTATTTTAGAACATGTACACATAAGCCATGGCATGTGTGTCAGGTAGGAGTACAATTAGGTCTTCTAGAGCTCAAATGAGAGAAGTTATATAGGAAATAGTTACAGTTAACTAAAGGTTACAAAGAATGACATTTTAATTGCTTTTTTAAGAAAGAAAAATGTAATATGATACGATTTATAAAGGAACTTTTAGACTACGTTTATGTTTTTCTTCATCCAACATTGTTTATGTCAAGAAGTACAGAAAATTCATGTGTGTGTGTGTGTGTGTGTGTATTAGTGTTCTTTTCCCTCCTATCTGACTGGAGGGAGTCTGACTGCAGTTAAGAGAGCCTTGTCTAATTTCCATTAGACAAGGCACTCTTACGTAAACACATTTGTTTTGACTCTTAGCAGAATCTAAGCTGGCCAGATGTAAAGTTTTCTAGGTCTGGTAGCAGCTGCAGCAGCAATAGGTTCGCATCAAAAATTTGGCACTTTGGCCAACACTTTTCCTTTGATGGATCACAAAGTATATTTTACTGGCTGCTGTGCTGGCACTTCCTTCAACTTTTTTCATCCACTGATCGCATTTCTGGGATTGTCACTTACTCCCGTGTTGACTGGGTCCCCTCCTTGGCAGGGTAGGAGGGACTTTAGCCAGCACGGAAGATGTTTTTGATAGGTTAAGCACAGGGTGCGTGCACTTTATAGGACGCCTCTGGGATCAGGTGAGTTACAAGATAGACGATGGCTGAGCTCTCAGGTAGGCTGTGTTTACATCGTGTCAACTTCCCTGGCTTGAGGTAGCAACTGCAGTTCCTCTTTCATGCTTTTTAATCTATGATTTGCCAACATCCATGTTATTGAAAATTAAGCTATTCTGGCATTATATGAGCAAAACTTCCAAATGATTTTTTGTTTTTATCATTTTCCATGGGTTGTTCTGGCAAATTGCAAACTCAGTCACCGCACAGATTTTCAGGTAAGTCCCTCACACAAGCACCCATGTTCTCACGTGAATCAAAAGAATGTTTGCCAATTTGGAGCTATGCTCCGCCTGAAATTTGTGACTGATTATTCGTTATGTGGGGATAGTGCTCTTTTCCCTTTGGTCAAGCAGTTCTGGAAACCAACAGAAAAACCAGAGCGTTTTTTCTCGTGAACAACTTGATTTGAATGATTCACGGTTAGGACATTCCCTTATGTAAGCATGAATGAACAAATTCACATGGAGGAAAGATTATTAACTTGTATTTATTTTTGTTTCTTTGAAACTGATTGCCTTCAACGTGTGCGATATTCAAAAGTACTTAACAAATACCACCTTGTATTTATTTTTGTTTCTTTGAAACTGATCGCCTTCAATGTGTGCGATATTCAAAAGTACTTCACAAATACCATGCAGAAACACAAACACACAGAACAACCAATGTGAGAAAGGACAGCCAGGCAACAACACAATCTCTAATAAATACAGGTCCACTCTAACTAGAAATATCTAACTGGAGTTTTATACATCCAATGACTGGGTTTAAAAAAAAATCTGGTTCTAACTCAATGCTTAAATCCAAATGCAATTTACGGAAGGTCTGAATTCCAAACCAAAATTGCTCGTCAAGTAAAATCCAGTGACTAAAATGCAGTGAGCTGTGTTCATTTCTATTATATTTACAGTAATCACAGAGGCAATCACTAAATGGTACTTAGTATGCTAAAGATTGGGTCTGTGCTTCTTGACATCATCACCTACAACAGATCATGTCAATGAGGTTGAGGTAGCACTACTGTCAATTAATCCAATGGACACTTATTCTTGTATATATGACACTGTGGTGGTTTTCACTCACAATATTCCAACCCTCGCTTATTAAAACTGTGCTCCTTAAAACTGCATTTCTGGACTGATATTTCCTATTCTCAGTTTTCTATTTTTTTTTTTTTACTTTTTTAAAAAAAAATAAAATAAAAAAATAAAAACAATGTCCAGTCTGTCACTTGCTGACCCGAAGTCTCTTCTATTCTCACCTGACTAGTTATTCTTTGGTGAAAACGGGTGGGAAACTTGGACGAGGATTTTTGGCAAAATTCACATCAGCTTCCATCTGTTTTCCAGCTGTTTCAACTGAGGCAAAACTCCCTCCGTTTTCTTTAACCTCCCATCCCTGATGCCAAATGGTAGGTGTTGAGGGGGGAATCTGGAAACTGCCTTTCTTTCTTCCCTATAACCACAAACAAAATGTCACCATCTGTAGGGTCTATTCCAATGTAAAATATTACAAGTGTTGTTTTTTTGTCTCAGATACTTTAATGCACCTGTGGGCGCACCCTCACATTCTCTCACTGCTTTGTGGAAATGTTGACTTATGTGTTTAGGTATAGTTGGCAGTCCCAGTTCCCTAACCTTTTGCTCCCTGGGACTTCACTAATGGAAGAAGTCTGCAATACTTCCGTGGAGGATAAAAATTACCCTCCAAGGATCATTTCTGTCTAGCGTTTAGAACTTCCCCACATGTGACTTCTTATTTCCCCTAGTGCAAGAGGATGCCAGAAGATAATAATGTTTTATTGAAGACAAGTAAATGTGAGGGCTTGGTCTGTTCACTAGTGGCACAGAATGCTTTTAGCAAAAAAGAAATCATAAAGCATGATTGAGTGTATTTTTGGCTACTCTGGGTACTTATTAACTTGTTAAAATGAAGAACATACTTTACCTATGTCTGTAAAATATCAAAATGAAAGGGAATGTCTGTATAGCTTAGATGAAAATGAATCTGTACTTTATATTCAGAAGAAAAATAATAAATACTAAGCCTCAACATACTTTAGTTCTTTGCAACTTCTCCTATATATGCTATACAAAATGAGAGAGACTCTTATTTATTTACAAGGCTGCACAAGTCTGTAGGCATACGAAGCTAATCATCAACTTTAAATAGGCATAGGGACTGTGACTTGAGTTAGGAAAATTCATAGAGTAATCCTATTGATGCCGATAATTTTCACATTTAAACAGGAAATTGCCTTCCTCATAGGCATTTATCCAACTTGCTACTCCAGCTCTTAGTGAGAGGGCTCTTCATTTTATTTTTCAAGGTAAACAGCCTTCCTTAGGGGTTCTTAAAATCTCTTGCCAATACATTTTCCAGATTTAAGAACCACAGTAAGCTACTCTTACTAGTGAATGTGGCTGTTATACATTGAGATGTATAAGTTGCAAAAAATAGACTTAAAAACCATTATACTAGATCTAGTTTAGAAGAGCACTGGAAACATCCATTACTTCTTATACATTTTACTTGAAAAAAGTATAAGATGATAAACCATAATAGTGTCTCTGATAAAGTAAGCCAATTTTACAAAATAAATAAAAGGAATTTCCGTAGACCATGTGGGAGTCTAGCACCTTTACCACCACACCACAAGGATTTGAATACATTTACAGTTCCTCACATCATTTTTAAATAAATATAATGGTAATAACTGTCCTTGAAGTGAAAATAAAAAATTCTACCTGCTAGACCAATCATTGTCAATTCGTAGATGAACTGTTTCTCACCAACCTGCCTTCTTGATTATTCATGGGATTGTCTAATATACCCTTAAGGATGTTTAATATACTCTCTAGTAAAACTGAAGATAGATGAGTTTTTATTATATGTGAGAACGTCAAGAAGTTTGTAGAAAAATTAAATTAA